TGCTTTGCTCCCTGGTTTCTTCTTTTGCTGAGAACTGAATGAGCTTTATAACCCTCCTGACATACCTTAAGACAGTGTTAGATCATCAAAGGAGAGAATGACAAAGAGATAACATTGCGGGTATGTTCAGTTGCTCACTTGTGCCCATCTCTTTGCGATCCATGGACTGCAGCCTACCAGACTCCTCCGTCCATGGGATTTTCCAGGCAAGAACACTGGAGTGGGTTGCCATTTATTTCCTCCTCCAGGGGATCTTTCCCTCCCAGGGATCAAACCCGCATCTCCTGAAGTGGCAGGAGAATTCTTTTCCACTGAGCCACCTGGGAAGCTCTGTAACGTTGCTAAAAGTCTAATTTCTGTTAAATTTTATATGCATTGCATTGTTTTTAGGTAGTAAGGTATGTTAAATAGTACCACTGAAGTGAAGGAGAGGATAACCTCACTTTGAGATCGGCTCATTCAGATATCATGCTAGCTATAATACAACTGCTGAGTCATATTTAATGTTAGTATAACATTTTCACTCATTCATTCACTAAACAGTTCAGAAAATACACATTGAGTTCCTACTTTGTGCTGAAAATGGGAAACAATGCAAAGCTTGGAAGGAGGCAGATAGGAAACTCTAAGAATTCCCAGAACAGAGCATTCCAGAGGCCAAGTGGAACCGCTACCGTGGGCTGGGAAACAGCCAGCAACAGATGACCTGGCTTCTGGCTTTGCCCTGGGAGCAACCGTGGCATGCACCCTAGGAGGAGGGGAGGCGGGCCCCAGGCGACGGCAGAATGTAAATAGCAACTGAGGCCGCCCACCGAGGCACCGTTTTCCTTTGTGCGCCTGGGGCTTTTAGCCACGGAAACCGTCATTTTAGCAGCTTAGCCTTCTAGGGTGAAGGGCAGTTACTTTATATGCATATTTGTCGTTGAACAGAGAGTCAAATCTTGTTCTCTTTCCTCCTGAGGTTTTTATATTTTTTACCAAGTCCTTCGTTTCATCTGTAGTTGATTCATTGCTTTTTTTCTACCATGCTTGATCCATGCCTTCATTATTTGCAGAATAGCTACTCTGAAGTTATACTCTGTCACCACCCCCACACCATCATTACCATCACCTCATACATGGGCAGAATTCACTGGAAGAGAAATTCATAATTGCTCTTTGATTTTTCAATAGATACATTAATTGAACCGAAAAAGATAAGAGCTAATGTGACTTATTGTCATCAGCCAGAATTCTGGCAGTCCTAACAGAAATGAGACACATCGGGAATAAAAAAATTATTCTGGCTCCAAAGTGCCAAAACATCTGGATGAAACATGAAACATAAAACATGAAAAATGCAGTCCACTGTCCAGGTCTTTTGTCTGCCAAGTGACAAGCATGTTATATACACCGATTTCACTGCCTTAAAACCTACAGGAAAATCTATCTAGAATGAGGTAGTGGCATAAATGTATTAACTCAAACATTGGTCGAAGTCTTCATATTTCCAAGTGTGTTTTTTCTTTTCTTGCAGAGTGCATTTGAGTAAAATTTTATAACTGCCCAGTGCAATTTTAACATTATTGCCCCTTTACTGAAGGTGAGGGTGTGCAGGAAGCAGCTCCAGTTGGCAGCAAGTTTCAGTCTGGCTAAGTCAGAAGATTTTTCAGTGGTGCTCTGTTATCTTTGTATTTGACGAAATTGCACTAAGGCTGCCATTAGCTCCCTGTGTGAGTGTGTTTAAAGAAACTAAGCTGTGGAAGAGAAGCCACTGTCTTTGATGAATTGCTGTTATTTGCACAGTCTTTGTTGGGAGCCCCACCTCCACACCCACAAGCTCTCTGCTGTCCCTGTCTCCCAGATGTGAGATTCTGGGTCAAGCGTTTCTCATTCGGCTGATGTTCCTCTCGCCCAAGAACTTAAGTGAGATAGCACGTTATTTAGTTTCTGAACAGCAAAGCGTTCAGCAAAGCTGAATGCCTCCTGCAGTCAGGCAGGCCTACCCTCCTTCTTGGATCCAGTGATCTATCATTGTGCGCGGATGGGTAATTATTATCATTCCTAGTGAGACAGAGACACAGACTTCATGTCTGATGTGATTCTGCCCAGTAATTTAACATGATACGATGAAACATACAACATGGGTCATATATCTGGCTAGTGCTCTGTGAGGGAACCAAAGTCCATCTGATGGGGCTTTCCTGCAGCCTCATGGGAGAACGTTTATTTTTAAAAGGAGAAGACAAGTTCATGAGAATGTGGTGATGCTTAATTGCTTTCCAAATCTAGAATAAATATTTACCTAGAGACAATTCTCCTAAGATTAAGGCAACTGTCTCTCTCACAAGCCAGAGAAACGCATCACACCACAGGCTGTGGGCTGTCAGGGAGACCCCGCTGGTCAGAGCTGACCCTTTCATGGACCTTCTTGTATCTATACTGATACCACTCTTACTATTAATAACATCCTGCAGGATCTCTTCCCTCTGCTTACAAACCTGGACAAAGGGGTAATAATTTTGATTTAAAAAAAAAATGGCAAGCCAGGTTCAGGGAAGATGCAGTGTTGGGTTTTTCCCAAACTTCTCCTCTGTGTTCTCTCCCTGGATCCCACTTTCTACACTGAGAAACCCAAGAGATCATGGCTGTTACAGATATGGAATTAGATGAACTATGTTCTCATGTAAGTAGAGATATTTTCTGAGGCAAGTTAAAAGGTTTTGTTTAAGTCACTGATTCAGTCAATGAACCTTTGTCTGATAATAGCAGTTGTGCTACTATCCCTTGACAGCTTTTATTTTTTATTTTTTTGCTAAAGCGGTCTTGGTCTTAGGTGAAATTTCAAAATAGTCTGGTATCTAGAAAATTCTAGTATTTATTAATAAGGTATTTAAATCAGTGCCAAAAGTGGCCTGCCATTAAATATTCATTATTGCTTTTTTTCCCCCTAAAACATTTATTTACACACTTTTGAACGTGATGATTTCTGTTTCCAATTATCTAGAACTCCTGGTTTGGGTGCGTCCTCTTATTTTAGAACTGATTTCTTTTTAGACTCCTCTGAATATAACTAGACATGTTTTAGATGCACAATAGGTGTTTGTCAAATTGCACTGAATAAAGTTTTGAATTCTCTCTGCCACCAGCATAAACCCTTGGACTTTCAATGTACAGATCATTGTAGCTCAGCAATGTTTTAGCTGCTAAACAGGAGCATCCGGATTGGACACGGCTGCTGTCTTTTTAGTATCTTTCATGTTGATTCTTTTCTTATGCTACTGGCTATCTTACTAGTACCTCCTGTTGGGAAATATTTTTCTTTAGCATAGTATCTTAATAACCATTGAGGTGGTTTACTTGGGGTTTCCTAATGCCCAGCACACCTAGGAATTGTAGTGTGGTAAATATAATGTGGGTAAAGTGACTGTTTTTTAAAAATCCATTATGACCAAGTTTTTTAAACTTATTTTTAGCCACTTTGATAACATGTAGATGCAGCCTGCCTTAGGAAACATGACTTCTGATAGACCAAAAAAATCTTTCTTATGGATTATAATTTGAAATTAAAGAAAAAAACCCTTTAAAGAACTCCATATCTAAATTGGAAGGCAGGGTTTTGTAATTTCAAAACCATTATTCTGTTTTCAGCAGCTCCTTCTTTGATTACCCTCATTAGCCTGGGTATATGGGGGAAAGTCATTGTAACCGAATTAATATTGTATAAAACAATTATTGTTTCTTATCGGCTTCACTTTCTCCTAAGTGAATAATTCACTATTAAAGAAATACATCCAAACACACTTTTCATCTTCTGGTGCAAAGCCTAGCATGACAGCCTATATATTTTTGCTGTACTTCAAGTTATTTTTTATTCTTCAGTTATTTCCAGTATGATTTTTCTTTATACAACCATTATTTAAACAATGTGCAGTTATATTTATTTTTTTTTTGCCCTCCTCTCATTCCTCAAAAGCTTTGAAGCATCTTACAATAATATGTACAGTGCTATAGGACGTGTACTTCATCACTGGGCAAAATCATCAAGAATCTGCCAAATTAATTCAATGTTGATAAATTTTGGTAAGATAGTAAATGCCTTTTATAGTTGGGACTTTCTGCCATTGATAATATGGAGTTTTTCATCACTATGCCATTTTTCCCCACTCAGCTAAGAAATCATAGCGGCAGGTAAAGAGTTCACAAGTGGCAAATTATATGGTCAATTCCTGATTATACTTGGGGGAGTCCTTGCTGATGATCCGCAAATTCTGCTTCTGAGTTCCATTGACATTCACGCAGAATGGTCTATAAAGTCATCTGTGGTTAGTACTCAGTACCTTTTGTCTAATTTCTCTTTCCCATGTAGCCTGTCACCCAGCATGAGATCTTTTATGCCAAAGCACTTAATTACTTCCCCCAAAGCAGTGAAGGTTCAGAACAAAACAAAACACAAAACCAACAGAAAAACACAAATATGGCATATTTATAGCTTTCCACCCTGATTCATGACATGTTCTTACCTGTTTGACTTGAGGCTACTTGCAGAACCCGAGGAAGAGGCAGCTGTTTCAAAGGCACAGCAAATCTAAGATATCACCTGCTGTCCTGTTTCTGGGACGACCCCCTGTTTGGGGAGTGGTCATGAGACCGTAATGTGGGGAGGAGAGTTACTGTGTCTTCCACATGTGCTAGAAAACTTGATGTGTGTGAGGGTGCTTCTGCGCTTACATACGGATATATATCTGAAAAGTGAAAATTTATGATATTTGTTTCTGCATATGTGTGTGCATTCTTTTTATGCCTATGTGAAAATAAATAAAATATGAATAAATAAAATAACTCAATTAGATGCAATCCCTGCCTTCTTTGTGCAAATGATGAAGAACCACATTCCTATGAAATGAGGCTTATGCCTTTATAGATCTAGACCTACAGATAAAACCCACTGGATCAATGTAAATCTTTACAATACCAGAATATTTTGCCCTCAAATGAATTTTATTTTTTTTTCCTTACAGTTTTGAAGCTTTTCTGGATAAAGATCAGGGATATCCTCCTAACTAAAAGGGTAAGTTTTTAATTTTTAAACAAAGATTTGCACCCCTAATCCCTCCCATGAAAAAACCAAACTGTTTCCTGTTGCTCTTCTTCACAATTGCACATCCTGAGTTTGCCATGAACGTTCCTATGAAAGGGGGAATCTCTCCCCTTCTTCATCAAGACTTTAGCTGCAGAATTCATTGTTGGTTTGGATGCTCTTATTGCTGTTTTTAGAAGGGCCTTCACCCGCTTGTTTTTAGAAGGGCCATGTGACCCTTGGAAGGCAATGCTTTTTCTACTGCACCTGTGAGAAGATCTAATGTATGTCATCGTTAGACTCCTGTGGAAATATACAATGAAACTAGGGGATCTGGTTAGTGCCAGAGGCAAAGTACTACTAACTCATCCCTGAAGATTGCTTTTTGATTAAAGGGCTCTCGCACTAAGGTGCTCGGCCTTTCTTGAGGCTGATATGAACTACTATTCTTGGCTGCTATATAACCTAGCTTGAACATCTGATTTTTTTTTGTTGTTAAAAAAAAAATCACACAGCAATTATATTACGGAGTGCTCACGTGAGGTATAATTCCTTAAAATTTCAAGCAGGATTTAATATGTGAACTCAACATTGTAGCTCAGAGTTAGGCAGAAATTCATAAGAGAGAGAGAAGGTGGTGGAAAAAGATAGGGTTAGTTCTGCCCCCAAATATTTCATGGATGAGTGGGACCACATCAAAGTTAATTCAGACTAGAAATCTTCCCTGCTTTAAGGAAAGTGAAAAAAAAGAAAGTTGGTCGCTCAGGTGTGTCAAACACTTTGCGATCCCATGAATTGATGCCTGCCAGCCTTCTCTGACCATGGAATTGTCCAGGCAAGAATACTGGAGTGGGTTGCCAATTCCTTCTCCAGGGGATTTTCCTGACCCAAGGATTGAACCCAGGTTTCTTGCATTGCAGGCAGATTCTTTACCATTTTAGCCACTAGGGAAGTCCTATTTTCATCAAGAAAATGAAAAGTAGTCAAATGAATAGCTGAGCTTAAGCAACAGATATCTCTTTTCTTGGCTCTCGTATAACCTGAAGAGTTAAAATAGCTTGCCCCTTAGGTGTTTTGCTTTGGATATTTTTCTTTTCTTTTTTTTTGGGGGGAAAGGAAAAGGAAGCAAAAAGCAATAGCTATATAATTTATTGTCCAAACTGGGACACTTTTGGAGCTAAAGGAACTCTATTAATAATTACACTGGATAAAAGGCATAAATCAGGACTCTTACAGGCAAACAGAGATGTTTGGTGACCCCTGGGAGGTACAATTAATAGGGCTTTATGTCCCTGTGTCCCTGGTCTTGTAGCCTTGCTGTGACCATGAGCTCACAGTGGAAACATCATTTCTATTGATGGCTTTTTTTTCCCCCCAAGGTTTTGATCACAAACTGTCTGTGTTGCAGGCAATCTCAATTACACTTTGTGGTAAGATAGGTTTTCTGTTCTTGGCATTCTGTTATTAGATTAACAAGCATTTTATTGTTTCTTTTGTATTCGGGCTTTTCATATTCGGTGCAATTGAAATGTGAAAAAAGAAAAAAAAGTATTTAATAGGACAGCTGAAAAAGAACATCAAATCCCACTATTTGAATTATCTTTCACTGTTAGCTGTCTTTTATTCTTCAGAGCATGTCTATCTACGAATCCAGCCTCTTTTCTTTTCATCATAATATTGTTTTCTCATTTTCACTGGGGAAGGAAGAGGGCAGAAAGAAATTTGTTGTGATGATTTTATAAAAATCCCAGTGATTTCTCTTTCTTAGCAGGGCTTTCTCAAGAATGAAGTCTATGATTAGTACATAGTAATGGTCTAATGTGACAGCCTTTGAGGCCTCTTAAAGTTTGAAACTGAAGAGATCAGTGTTAAGCAAGAGCCAGTGTGTACTAACGTTAGGAAAACATACTTCTTGGTTCCATTCATCAGCTCTCAGCGCTTTTAGACGGCAGCTTTCTGCTGCATTTACTGAAAATACGACTGCCATGTAAAGAAGGTTCACTTGAGGAAAAAAACCTGGGAATTAAGCTAATTTGTCCACTTAACTTAAAAATATAGAATAGTCAGATTCCTTGCAGGCATTTTGGACATATGTTTGTCAGACAGCAAGCAAACAACCAGCCAATAAACCAAAACAGCAACTCACATCTATCAATTATTAATAACTCCTAAAATGCCATCCCCTGTGCCAAATAAGGATTTTACATACCTTAACTCACTTAATCCTTACAGAATCTTATTCTCAGAATGATTTCTATATAAAATATTAAAAAAAAAACCTCCCAGAAGGCAAATGACTGTAACAAGTTCACAGCTGTTGTTTAGCAGCCAAGCCGTGTCCGACTCTTTTGTGACCCTACAGACTGTAGCCTGCCAGGCTCCTCTGTCCGTGGAATTCTCCAGGCAAGAATCCTGGAGTGAGTTGCCATTTCACAGAGCTAGAAAGAAAAGTTCAGACTGAGGCTGTATTAAACCAGTACAACTATTTACTATTTATCTGTGAGAGGATTTAGGTGAAATTTTTAAAAGGTCAGAGATGCTTTTTGTGAGCAGTTTTCTATTTGTATTATTGGAAACTAAATGTGTATGCTAAATACCAGTATTTTAATAATTTAAAAAATCATTACGGAAGTGAAAGGTAAGAGAAGTTAGTACACCACTCCACTTTTAGCTCTTTCTTCAGCTGCACAAACTTCTTTCCCACCTTCCTTGCCACACGCGGGATGTCTCCTCTGTACCAAAGAATGATAAAAGAAAGGATGCTCTCCCAAGACTGGGCACCGCTTCTCTTAACACCTCTCAGTGTATCCTCTCTTCTGGAAGGACCATTCCTTAGGCATCTTTCCAATCACCTGTCTTTTCCATAAAGATCCTGAGAATGCTCCTCTTTCGGAGACCCATCAGCTCGGTAACTCCCATCAGTAAACGAGTGTTGAATTAAGTTCAGTGAAAACCACTTCTCTCCAGACCCTAGTCTAGCAACTGATTCCACCATCGCCTCTCTCCTATGTCTGTTCTGTCTGGAAGAATAAATGAAAATGAGAAAGAAAAGAAGCTGTTTAATGAATTGCTAAATTCCTAAATCCTGTTACAGAAAATAATAAAACATATCCTGGTGGCATTTGGGGTGATGGCCGTGACAAATGGTAACTGAATGTGGGTTGCAAAAAAGCGTCCTCTCTGGGAAGGCGAATGACAAAATGGAACTCCCTCAGGCAAGACGGCGCGCCGGTGTGTTTGTATCCCTTCCTATAAGTGGTACCCCGCCCCAGCACTCTCGCCTGGAAACTCCCACGGGAGGACCCTAGCAGGCTCCATCAGTCCATGGGGTGGCGAAGAGGCGGACACGACTGAGCCTCGCCACTTCACCCCGCCCCCCACAAGGGGGCAGCACTGAGCCACCCGTGTCTTGGGGAGGGCTCACAGGTCTACGGGTAGGTGTTTAGTTTTTGAATATTAAATAAGATGGGTATAGAAGAAAAAAAAATTCAAGGAACACCAAAGAATGTTAATCTGTACAGCCACCTTTCACATTCCGTGTATCAATATTTTGGAGAAAGCTAGTGAAGAATTAGTTATAGCATTGAGAGCAAGCATTGGCGGTATCATTTTGTGTCACTCAGAACTATTTTCAAATTCTCTAACAGTCTTAGGTGTATGACTTGGATATACTACTTAATTACTCTGGTCTCATTTTACTCATCTGGAAGTGGGATAAAGAACTTCAGCCCTCACACTTGAAGGTGAAGATTAAATACATGAAGGTAAGTGTCTGGCATGAAGAGTGCATTCATTCATTTTTGCTTTTTGGTATAGAATGTGAATATATGTCTGGCTTCTGATATTTAAGGATGTACTTATATTCTTAGCATATAAATATACACTATTAAACACATCAGTAAGCACTGTTAAATGTAGCAATAGGCATTATTAAGGAATAAATGAAAACAGTAGTCTCATATAATAAGATGGCCCAAAAGGTGTTAAATTATAGTTTGGGAATGGTAACCTATGTTAATTCATGATTTGTATTTTTTTTTGTCTTATAAAAATGGAAGAATGTAAGTACTAATATTTCTTTATGATGAATGTGGTTCATTGATCTTTATCATGCTGGTGTAGAAATATTTAGGCAAAAACTGTATTTCATGTTTCAGAGTTGAATCTAGCATGTCAGTTAACGCTTAGTCAATAAAGGAACCCTTTTAATAAATAACTTTAATGGACACTGTGTTTTAAAATGTAAAGTTATTAGAACATTCGCTGGGTAATCTGTTCTTCATTTGAACAAGTTAAAGTCTATCCCTTGGTTATGAGCACTTTATTTGGTTTCTCTCACATTTTTTTCTACAGAAAAGTCTTACTTGTGGAACTAATGACATGACCGAATTACACAGAGAGTTAAGTGATAAGAAATATTTCTAAAAGACTGCCTTTATGAAACTGCTAATAAGTTGACACCTGTTTTCCATTAATGACTTGAAAAACAAGGGAAGCCTGTGGCATTTTAAACAAAACTGTGAATTACGGTATTTCTGCTCTTTTATGCAGAAGAGATTTCCTTTCGATTGTCACTTATCTATGATTCAAATAGGTGCAGGTCCTTTTTGAAGTGTATGAAATATTGTTAGAGCTATTTGCTGGGCATTCTTTGGACACTAAAAAATGGACTAGTAATGTGAAATTATTTAAGTCAGCGCATAAAGAATATACTATATAAATGGAGAAACTCTTAGCCCTGCTTCTCATTTAAACTAGCAACACTCTTCTTTTTATTACAATAATAGAGATAAGATGCATGGTATTGTCCTGTAAGCTAATTAATATTATTGTTTGCTTATCACACAGTGATGTAGTATTACTTTATAAATACCACTGTTTCACGTTTGACATTAGAGAAAATGTGGGTTGGACTTTTAATATCAATGACATTTCTGACCATCTACACATGCATTTTCTTACATTCCTGGTTCCAATATAAGTGGTGTGTAAATACAAGAATAGAAGACAATGTCGGGTCTGCAGGAGATAGAATTAGACTTGCCGGATGATGATGGCTGGAGTGGGGATGCAGCCACCGCTCTTGGCAGCGTGGCACACCACTCAGGGATGCTCCGTCATGGGATTCTATCGCTTTCTCAGGCTGACTGGTGGAGGGACTTTTAACTCACAACATGTAAGTACTGCAATGCCTTCTTCTCGTCACGGCTGCTAAAAACACACAGCCTTTTGTCAGGCTACAGAATGTTTTAATTCCCAATGCAAATCTGGGTGACATGTTTGTTACGCTAGCGGATATACCTGACAGATCCTATTTTGAGTTTTCCAAGAAAAAACGCACGGCAGCACATTTGTGGGATATCAATCCTTTTATGTGAGCAAAGCATGCCTGTTAGTAATTGGGGAAACCATTTCAAACCGGAGTTGATTTGATATCAAAATAACTTGCAAGTTGTGTTTGTCTAATTCCTAGGGTAAGATCATTTTAGCAGATCTAGTTGTTAGTTACAAAAACAGTTTTATGGTTTGCATGAAGCAGTAAATAATAGTAAAGACAGATCAAGATAAAGCTTTCATCACGCCTTTGTTAACCTTTAGAAATACATTCATTGAGTTTTGGGGTTACTTACACATAGGCATACAGAATGTGTAAAGAATTATGGGGCATGCATTCAAAGAACCTATAAAAACAGAACAATTACATACACATGTTTCTGAAACCATAAGTCATAGGGGTTCATAAAAGTAAGCTGAAGTGTATTTAATATTCAGTGCAAAAATAGATATTAAGAAAGCTTTCCTTGACATTTAAACTCCATACTTTATTTATAATGAGATACTTTGCCTTTAGCCACCAAAACACAGGTTCAAGCTCCGGTCACTTGCATGTGAGGAAACCTACCTGGAATGAATCTTTGGTCACAGTTTTTAATAATGTTATGAATTTGACTGCGGACTCAGCATCTCCAGATAATAAAGTTCACTAGGCTCAAGAGCAGGTTATAGGTCACTCCACCCTGCGTCCCAAGATTACCCATTTCTGTTTTTAGAATTAAAGGAAAGGAAAATAAAACTTATGCTGCTTTTGAAATTTTTATTAACTTTGTTTAGGAACCACAAAGATTCTAAAAATGCGTTTCTCAACTACTAAGTGTCAGTATTTGCAGGGTTTCAGCAGCATACCCATACTTTCTTTTCCTTCCCATCCATTACATCTTTGTCCTGCTTTGGTTTCATTCTTAGGTAAGTGTGTTTATTTTGAATTGATCACATTCCATTTGCTATTTATTATCCGAGGCTATACCATATATGTAAATGTAGAAAGAGCTAGAAGTATAAAACTAGGCAGAAATGGATTAGAAATGAATATTTGCCCCTTTGATTTTTTTTTCACAGAAAAACACAAGAAGCATATTTAGAGCATTTGAATCTTCTTTGAATAAATGATTGTATTTGTTCAATTAATGTGATCAAACTCCCTTCCTCAAGAGCAAAATTGTGATAAAATATTCAACTTTCTATTTGCAGTCTTGCCTGTAGCATTTTTTAAAATAGGAGCTTATCTTGACTCAGTTTGCAGGCCACCTTCAGAATCTATTTTCCTCTTATTACAGGTACAAGAAAGACTAAGTACTTTGCCTTACTGCTATCAGAGAAAATATTCTTAGACTACTCACTTATTGGAAGGGGACTGTGAATTGACTAGGGATGTTCTGTTTTGAGTATTTTCACTACCATTTAAGATACTAAGATCTATTGAATTATCCTGTTGAATTATTTGCCATTGTGAAAATTTGGTGAGTCATTGAAGAAACTGCCTTTTGAGTTTTTTTTTTTTTTTCTTTCTGATTATAAAGTACCTGCTGGAGGGCTCAGGTATATCTAGGTTAATGTGTTTCTATTTCAGTACCCAAAAAACAAAAGTGAGATCTAAGCAGGGTCATACCCACATCCCCGTTGACGATAATTGCGTAGGAGCAAGTACCTGCCCAAGCGGTGTGGGCTCCAAGGCAGAGAAAGGAGAATGGGGGGTGGGAGGCTTTAAACAAAACTTTTAACTGTAAAAGAAACAAGTCGTCCTCTGGGAAATTACTCAGAGTGCAATACACGCATATTTTTCTAATTAAATAGATTAGTTTATGCCTTTGGCACTTAAAAGAAAGTCCTCGTCAGTTAGACGTGTTTCCCAGGTTAATTCTCTGGAAATTAAACCTGGCCCTGTTTCTTGCCATTTTGTTCCCTTCGTTGCAGTCCCGTTTCTCTTCTCACCCCCAGATCCTTTTCTTCTCTCTTTTTACGATCTGCTCCCTTTTCTCCTTCCCTCCATCACATCTTCCACCTATCGAGATGGGACCAGCGCTGACGTCCCCTACCGTTTTGCGCCGCCGCCCCCAGGACAAATCGCCTGTAGCCTGCGTCCCCATAGGACTCATTTTAGCCCATTTCATATGTCCAGCCCTTAACTGCTGGCCTTGAACAACAGCTGTTTACTTAAGTCCATCTCTGTCTGCACTGGGGGTGTCCTGAAAGCCAGCGTTCCATTTGCTTCGCTCTGTCTTCCAACATTGCAGGCTTTTTCAGGTGATGAAAAACTCTTCCTTGAACTCTGTGAAGAATCATCTTACTTCTCCTTTTCACATTCACAGCCTTCCTGCTTTACTCTTGTCTTTTCACCCCTGCCCCCTCACCCCTCGAGTTGCTCCCCGAGATGCCCGCTGAGTGCCCGCTGAGGAGTGGAGAGGCATGTGAGTTTGGAGCGTGTCTGCCGTGCCCGCTGGAGGCGCCAGGGGAGCCCTGGTCCCCAGAATAGAAGGGGGTTAGAGAGCAACCAGAACCGAGATAGGAATTGTGTTGCACTAACGAGCAATCACTGAGAAATCACTTTAAGACTTTGACAATAATTTCCCAGTGGTTGGTTGTCTAGAAAAGGAAGGGGAAAAGGAGAGAAAGAAATAGTGTTTTATACTGAATACCAAATAATTCCATATGACAATGCAAATCAGGTTTGAATGCCAGGAGCTAGAAATTAAAGCCCACTCAGCCATTAGGTTGTCTGTCTTGATCAGGAAGGCGTGGAGAGGTGTTCCCTTGGAAAAGCAAAGAAGGAAATGTAGAAAAGAAATGTGAAGGTGAGAGGCTTAAAATAAAAACATTTTGCAGTTGGTTCCAAATGAAAGCAAGTTGGTAACACAGTGCTAATGTATCACTAAAATGGGAGAAAGTAAACAAAATGTTAGATCAGGTCCTGCTTTTAATACTAAGGAAGTCATCTTATGAAAAGATTAAAGGAAAGAGGCATTATGGTCCTAAATAGAATGGCTTTATGAAATGGATCACTTAGAAGTGTGGTTTGTGGCTTCATTTCGTATGACACGTTGGCACACACACATAAAGCAAATCGCTCTGAGTATTATAACATGCAATTCCAAGGTCTCCTGCTCTTGGTTTGTGTTTTACATAAGTGGTTTCTATGTTTGTGCCCTTACTGATGGGAATTCATTTATAACCTGCTGCCGTGGACTCTGACTGTCCTTTTTGATGAACTGCTTTTCACTTCATAAAATTTTTTGAGGTTTCTGTATCATGAAATGTTTCTCCAAATGCTGCATAGCATAACAGAAAATTGCATCAAGATGAAAGCTGGAGTCAAGGTTAGATAAAGGAAACAAAACCTTTCTATTTCTTCCTCCTATATTTCTTTTTTTAAAAATTAATTTATTTATTTTACCTTACAATATTGTATTGATTTTGCCTAGATGATAATGTGCATTGGTTAATTTTGTAATCCTGTGAAATCTGGGGTCAAGGAAAAATTTACTGAGAAAAGTAATTGGAAGTTTTCAACTTCTAGAAAGATAATACAGTTTAGTAAGAGATATACATGGCTTCCCAGGTGGCGCTAGTCGCAAAGAACCTGTCTCCCAGTGCAGGAGACATAAGAGATGAGGGTTTTATCCCTGGGTGGGGAAGTTCCCCTGGAGGATGGCTTGGCAACCCACTCCAGTGTTCTTGCCTGGGAAATCCCGTGGACAGAGGAGTCTGGCGGGCTACAGTCCTTGGGATTGCAAAGAGTCAGACACGACTCAAAGCAGCTTAGCACAGCACAGCACAAGAGATACCTATTGTCTAGAAGTTGAAAGTGTGGCCAGATGTTGAGGCCAAGGTCAGAGAATCCAGTCTGATTTTATTGACTGGCCATTTTTAAGGAACAAAATGACTCACATCCCAAGACTTACCACCGGAGCTGTGAGAGCTGCTTGGAGAAAAAGAATCAGAGCTTTCCTTTCCTCCCCACTGGACATCAAGGGCAGAAGATCCCAGCTTTTGCAAATGACCCCAACATTTGTTCTCCACAGCTGATTTTTTAAAAAATATTTATTTAATTAGCTACTCATTTATTTATGGCTGCATTGGGTCTTACAGTTGTGGCATGCATGATCCTTCGTTGAGCTATGCGGGCCTCTCTCTCCGAGGGCTCCAGGCTCAGTTGTTGTGGCTCAGAGGCTTAGCTGCCCCACGGCATGTGGGCTCTCAGTTCCCCAACCAGGGATCCAGCCCAAGTCCCCTGCACCAGAAGGTGGATTCTTAACCGTTGGACCACCGAGGAAGCCCCCACTGTGGCTGATTTTATTTCTTCCTCTGCTTCAAGCTCATCTCTGAGCCACCTTGCTGGCCCTGTTCCTGCCGCTCAGTAAATCCAAGGGACTCAGCTAAAGTCAAAGAAGCTTTACCGTTATGGTAGACACTTTATTTTTAATAGACCAACAAGGCAATATAACATCTTTACAGAGGTACAGAGGGATTCACTTTACGTAAGCCCCGTAAATAAGTCATTCCCTACCAGCACTGCAGCAAATGTCTGGGCCCATCACGTGAGAGGGCCTGGTTCAAGCTCCACTTCTTCCCTGAAACCTTCCCTGTTTCAGGAAGATGCTTGTGAAACGTCTCCCTATACTGAAAGTCCATTGTAATGCATTTGTTTTCTGTAGCACACGATTAATTAGAAATAGCCATGCATTCTTCATGCCAAAGTTTGACTAGCAGTGCTGAGGCAAATCTTATACTTGCTTGGTAGCAGAGGAGAGTCTGGACATGTGTGTGTAAAACCAAGACACTTTTCTTAAGTGTGCAGGCGTTTATTGAATACCTGTTCTATAGGACACCATAAAGGCAAAA